GTTTGTGTTTCAGTTTTTGTTCTTTACATCCAAACTAAAACACTTTTTGTGATGCAATGAGAGAAGGAACTCAACAATAACACTTAGCCTGGTGATTTTCAGGACTGAAGGTATTTTGGGTTTTTGTTTGGCTGTAATTTTTGATAAATCTTCTGTAAAAGCTGGGGGATTCAGGAAGCTTTTCAGCTGCCTACATATGGTAGGTGAGGCCATTCAGAGACTGCCCTGGGGTCTCATTTATAAAGGATTGCGTGGAAACCATCCTAAAAGTGAACGTATGGCCAAAAGGCAGAAATGGCATACGCCAAAAAAAATAGATGTATAAAACCGTGCGTACGCATGTTTCTGCGCACCTTTCCTTTACAAATCACAACCACACGTCAGAGTTTGCGCACGAGGTCCCGCCTCAGGTTCTACCCTCTACATGCCCACATTCAACCATAAACAGTCAATGTAAAGTACCTTGTGCAATATTTTGAGCCAAACTGCTCTTACCCTGCTAATTGAACCTTCACACTCTGCTCTTAYTGGTGCAATGTGCAATTAATGAAGATTGGCCACCAGGCTGGTCCAATTTAGCCATGAAACCTCCCACACTGAAATAACAGCTGTTTCAGTTTCATTGTTCAACCCCTGTAATTTACAAGGGCCTGAAAAACTGCTGAAACATGGGTAAGGTCTCTGTCCACCTTTCAGGGACAGACAGGTTGTAGAGAAGGTTAGATAATAACAAAGCTCCAGGTAACAGGTCTGTGGTGCAGTCGTGGGCTGTCAATGGGGTGTTTGATACAAAGCCTTGTTCCTACTGTACACAGGAAGGTCATGGTAAATGGCAGGCACAATAGAGACATCCTGTCTCAATGTGAAGAGAAACAGATGAGGAGATAGAGATGGCAGATTGTAAACAGAGAGGCAATTTGAACAACATTTATCCACAGTCCCTTCTGTCCAATTGGTCCATGGTTGTGTGGCATTAAGTGGTCTTGACTATACAATTAAATTTAGTTAGTTACCAACAACGCCACCTGGGACTATCACCCAGGAATTAATAAAAGGACACAGGTCCGGTTTTGCAATCAGCAGGAGACAGGTTTCGAGTCAATAATAATTTATTATACAAAATAAGAAATGCCTGTACATAAGCAAATAAAAGCAAATACACAAAGTAAAACTAACTAGGCTTACCGGTGGGTACGACCAGGTCCTGGATGTAGGCCCCAAAACAAATAAAACAAAAAAAAAAACACCCGTGACGTCACTCACTCAAAAATGCTCACCACCTGTCTGGGTTAATCACTGCACAGTCACACCAAAACAAAAAAAAAGATGCCGCACCCAGGCCCGCCGCACACCGCC